CTGCCACACGCACCCAGGCTGGCCAGCCTGCCCCCATCAGATGCGGCTCTGTACTCGGCGGCCGCTCGCTCGCTCCTCAAGGCTGACCTCTGGAGGCCCCCACGGGCGGCCCTCTACAGTGCCTGATCCAGCCATCCCGGATCGCATACCGGGCCCCATAGCGACCGTGTAGGTCGCTATGGCGGTAGTTATGCCACTGCTTGTGAGGATACTTCCCAGTGGCCTTTTGATGATGGCAGCCTTCCTAGGATTGATGTTGGAGAACATTTCATTGGGAGTCAGCTGAGCGCTATGTTGTACACATCTTTCAATACTCAAAAGCTTTTACACTTCCATCAGGAAACTGTCACTGTAAAAACTTGGTGACCACTGAAGATTTGCAAGCTAAATGGATAATAAACTATATTTTCAATATGCCTGTTTATAATTGATTATTTAATGCTCACCTGTACAAAAGACCCCTGAAGCGAGTTTACTAGGAAATTGTGACTCTCTACTTACCTTTGATGAGAGGGCAGGCAGATTACAGATAATTGCCCCAATGCCAGCACCCCAACTGGACAACAGGACTGCTGAAGAGCCTAGTTAGTGGCAATAAATAGGACTTGTTCTGTAATGTTGCCAGGATCTGTGAATGGAGAAACTACAAGTCCTGTCTGCTACTGGTTCCATTGCAATAAAAATAATACATGTACGTTTTTTGCATTTATTTTGTATTTTTTATAAGTGGACTTTGCCTTTAGGAAAAAAGGACATGCTTTTGAGGATAGTAAGGTGCACATTTGCAATAGAGAGGAAAACTGGTTCCCAAGAGGAGTGAAAACGGTCAGGCTACGTCAGACTGGATCCACCATCCTTGAACAGGTGTAGGGGCCAACAGAACAAGTCCCGTTGAATGCAGCTAACTACTGGTAGCCAAACGTTCAGTAGTTATGGAGAGCCCTGACAACACAGTAGCTTTAACAACATAAACTTCACATTAACTGCTCAAGAATAGGTTCTGTACTTCTAACTTGCACAGATATTTATTAGGCTGAACATTATAAATGTAGCAGTTGTTACTGGCAAATGTAACAGTCACAGAATGTGTAACAGATCCTTTAAAACTCTCCTATGCACAAAAACAAATAAACTCTGAAATTAGAAAATCAGCATTTATTATGCATGTCATGTTGATGTCAAAATCATGAAAAGACCATAATATAAAGACAAACAGTAGTATTGCAATATGATCATGTTCCCTCTTGGTAGTTCACTGTTGTCACTCCTTTGGCTTTGCTTCAGAAAACACAAACTTGTGCATAGCGTGGATGTACTCTGATCCGCTTGCACATGATAACTTCAGCTTTGTCAGTGGCATGAAAAACTGTGTGGTGAAATATCGGAGTGATGGTACTTGAGCCTCAATGGCTTCCAGAAACACCTGTAAACAGAAATTATTCAGTTTGGTTTCAGTGTCCATGCAGTATGCCATACAATCAGCAACCTAAATGATTGGTAGGAGTCACTCACAGGTGTGATAATGATTGGTAGGAGTTACTGACCAGGTGTGATAATGATTGGTAGAAATCACTGACCAGGTGTGATAATGATTGGTAGGAGTTACAGACCAGGTGAGATAATGATTGGTAGCAGTCACTGACCAGGTGTGATAATGATTGGTAGGAGTCACTGACCAGGTGTGATAATGATTAGTAGGAGTTACAGACCTGGTGTGATAATGATTGGTAGGAATTACTGACCAGGTGTGATAATGATTGGTAGGAGTCACTGACCAGGTGAGATAATGACTGGTAGGAGTCACTGACCAGGTAAGATAATGAATGGTATAAGTCACTGATCAGGTGTGATAATGATTGGCCGGTGGATGTCACTCTCCTTTCCCAGGAGAGTCATGAGACAAGGGTTCAGCATGTGTGTACAAACACAGGAGCAGTGTGTCTCTGTGTCCTGACTCAGTATTATCTGTGCTGGAACAGACTATCACTTTCAGGAGACCAAACATTTGGCCACTTACTGTGACCCTGAAAACTCCTGCATAGGAAACCTGTTGAAAAGGTGTGCTGACGAATAAAAGTTGGTGAACTACAAGTTGGTAGGTGGACTGAGTCCTTCAAGCCCTACATTTGAAGCAACACCTTCATAATATCTACAATAAAACATGAGTTAAAACCTTATAAACTAAAAAAATTCAGTAAACATAAAACTTCATGACCTGAAGACCTGTCTGTGCCACGCACAGTAAACCATTCATTTTATTCTCCCATCCTGCACTGTCAGAATGATAGGGAGAATACAGCTGGTACTGGAGATGGTTATTGGTTCACATACTGTAATAAATAAATCTGCGTGGACAATGATTCTTGCCCATAGCTATAGGTATCAAACTTCTTGGGTGGCATACCTGTAAGATTTCATCTGTGTCCTGAGCCACATCTTGGAAGATGGCCTGGCAGTGCTGTAGGTATTGGGCGTACAGGGAGCGGGTGTCGCTGTCCACATTCTGAAGCTGGCTGTTACTGGGTTCACCATTCTGGAGTTTGTTCATAAAATTGGTGTTCACTGGACCGCACTCAATGAGACTTACACTTCATTCATAGACAGAAAGAAAGAAGAATAAAATACAGTACTTGTTCACAAATGTGTGTTAAACCTTAAAGTGTTAATAAACTCTCAAATAAAAGAAATCATATCATGCTGCAGACCTCAGCACTTACCGGGGTGCAGGGTGGTGTTTGCTTATAACCTGTGGTTGCCAGGCATTCGATTTTTCCAATCCTTTCCCCTTTCCATGGTTCCTGTCTCTGGTGTCTCAGTTCCTTTACAGCAGGAGTGAGCAAACTCTGGCCCTTCAGCAGGGGTGAAACTACAAACACCATCATGCATCTGTCTCTGGGCATCATGCCTGTGGCTGTGAGAATCTTGCAATGCCTCATGAGCTTTGTAGTTCCACAACCGGTGGGGGGGGGGGGCGGAGTTTGCCCACCTCTGCTTTACAGGGTCCTATGAAGCCACCTTTGTGTGTGTGTTCCTGGCTGACAGAATGGGAGAGTCTCCTTGTGTCCACAGAAACATATAGCCTCGGCAGCAAGCCACTCTCCTTTCCTCCCTGCGAGTGATTGACATTGGTTGGAGCCGGCACTGTCCTGAGTGCACTGTGCATGTAACGCAATTAAGGTGTACACTAAAAGAAGTTAGGGGAAGTGGCACTGTACAATGCTGGCATTGAATTACTGATAATGTAAGTGTATTGTGGCCACACAACTGTAGTCACTGTTCAGGTATACTGAGAGGCACATCCACCGCTGTCAGAATACAATAGCTTTGTGGGGGCTGTTTAGCGTAGATGGGGAATCAAGCTTTTTTTTCTCTTTCAGCCTGCGAGGCTGAACCAGAAAAATATGATTAGTATATGGCCAGCATTATAATGTTCTCTGCCCATAAACTATGGAAACAACATGAACTCTATGTTCTATTCCCAGGATTAATATAACCAGGGGATGGAGTGGAGGGACAATAATAGGATGTAAATACAAACAAGGACAGAAACAATTAACAGAAATGTGAAAGTATAACTTAGGTCAAACAGGTGAAAAAAAACATTACACATCTATAAGATGCAACCATAGGAGCCTGTCAATGCCATACCAAAGCACTTAAAGACTAGTGTTGGAAACGATGAGCCTTGCTGCTTTCCAGACTAAGAACAACTAAATAAAGAAGAAGAGTAAGAGGAAGTGCACAAGCCTAGTGTAGTTAATGAACATTGTAATTACATAAGTGAGACGCATGTACGAGAATACCAGTTCATGTCTCTGCATACTCCACTAGCCAGAGGTATGTAATAAGATCAGCAGGACTCTAGACAACCAGAGAAGATAACAATCAAGTGAGCAGGATGACAAATAGGATGAATTCCTCGAAGCGCATCCTGCTCCTTGACACATATGCAGAATTGGGAGGTACTTGGAGCTTTGTAGTCTGGACTGCTCACTTGGCCATCATCATCTCTGGCTGTCTGGATTCCTGCTGATCTGATTACTTATTGCTGGCCCTGGGAGTAGTTTGTGTTACTCAGAAAGCTGTAGGTGCTCATAGGATAAATATGATGGCAGGATATTTTAACAAACAAACCCATTCACTGCCCAAATATATTCTACAAAAATGCATGTTTAAAGCAGATCTATAGACAGAGATAAAAGCTTCACATTAGAAAATCCTTAAAGTGTATCTAAAGCCCAAATGTTTATTTTGTTAAATATGCTAGGAAAGGGTTAGGACCTCTGTCAAGTTTTTATTGTTTCCTGTGTACCTGCTGGGGAGAATCACACTACATTGTCACCCAGACTGAAGCTGAGGGAAAATCCAAAAATGTAAGGTATCACCAGAACAGGAAGTAGAAATTTTCCAATAAGAACACATTTTTTTGGAAACAATTGTATGAGATGATTTCCTTCGGTTGTAGAAAACGTGAGGTCATGCACAGGGCCAGATTTACTCTCTCTGCTGCCCCAAGGCCAGGTACCTCAATGCGCCCCCTCCCTCCCTAAGGAGAATGGCAACCAGGGTTAGTTTTAACTTTTTTTTATCACTTTAAAAAATATATATATTTATTTTTTAACTTTTTTTTTAATCTTATTATTTTTTACTTATTTATTTATAATTTTTTTCTTATAATTTTTTACTTTTTAATTACCTATTTATTTTTTATTTAATTATTATTTCTTTTTATTTTTTAAATTTGTATTTATTTTATTATTTTTTTAAATCAATTTTTTATTTTTTTTTCCACTTAACTTTATTGCTATCACACAGGAGCTACCAAGCCCCTGTGTGATAGCATTTGGAGGTGACAGGTTCCCTTTATTAAACCTGTCACTTCCAGTACAGGAGTTTTGGCACAGCACTGTGCTCCCGTGACAGCTGAGATGGGAAGGCTCTCACTGTTTTACTCCCCGCTCTCCATCCTGAAGATTTCCAGAGAGAGGCGGCTTGCGAGGAGAGAGGTACACGGCAGCGGGGGGTGGATAGACAGGACAGACCTGCCCCGCTCTACATTTAGCCCTGCTTGTCCAAAGCAGGGCTAAATGTAGAAAACACCTACCCGCCTGGCACTCGGAACTGCATGTCCTGGGCGTCGGCAGAATCTACACCCCAGCCACCCCTCTGCTCCCTGCCGCCTCGGTGGCCTTGTGGAAAAAACGGCCCTGGTCATGCACCTAGCTGTGCTGTCCGGCAAGGGTAAATGAATATCAACAGTGGCTGAACAAAATGGCACATTTTTTGGCAGGTAAAACCGTTCCTATATACTGTATGTGTATTTTACAGCTTGCTAAATCACTTCCAGGGTGGACAATCAGCAATTGGTTTATGTGCAGATCAGAAAATATTTTCCCTGTCTTTGTTCTTGTACAGTATAAAAGGGACATATTTATCTTTACTACTGAGTGCTGGTGATTTCCTGACTTTCCTTTGTTCTTGTACAGACATCCTTATTCTTACCCCTTACCACCAAAATCACAGGTTTTGGGTTGCAATCGTCTAATGTCTATAGGCACTTAAAGACGTTGCTGCTGATTTTATCACAAGTACACTTTATAGTTATACAATTGCAGTACTCACTGAACATTAAAATGCTGTAGAACAATAGCCAGACTCTCACAGAATCCTTCAACAGCAAACTTACTGGCACAATACACATCATTAAATGGGATACCTGGAATAAAGGAAAGAATAGTAGGAATGTAATCATAATGATATATTTGTGATATTTGTGCCATTATGCAGAGCGCTCTTCAATATATATGTATAAAATGTAAGTGATATAGCATCATACACAGTGAAAGTATGCTATTAAAGGCTGGGTAAAAAACAGCTGTAAAATACATATTCTCCATAGATACAGATGAGTGCCGTCACCCTTGGACAGATAGACTGGTATTACTGGCAGTATCCAGGTGCCCCCACATCTAACAACTGGTAAGCTGCAATTTGTTACATGTTTGTTCTTGGGGTTAGTCATGCTTTAAACCTTTCACTGCCGCCGACCTAAGGCTTACGTCATTGGCAGCAGGAACCTGTAAACAGACATTCATACGCTTATTGTCCCTGCATGCAAAGAAGCAGTTTCAGCGCTGTCATTCTGCAACCTCTGTGGCCAGGATAAAAAAAAAATCAAGAACGATCTGTGCTTGATTAGTTAGAATGAGGCGCAGAGGTGAAATTAGGGGTCATAGACCCCAAATGTCTCCCTAATGAGAACCTGAACAACCTTTTGGACCCCTTTCAGTCCGGCTTTCGCCCTCAACATTCCACTGAAGCAGCCCTCCTAAAACTCACCAATGACCTAATAACAGCTAAAAACAACGGCCACTATTCCTTACTCTTGCTATTAGACCTTTCTGCTGCTTTTGACACTGTTGACCACCCGCTGCTCCTCAAAAAACTCCACTCGCTTGGCCTACAAGACTCTGCTCTCTCGTGGTTCTCCTTCTACTTATCTATGCGCTCCTTTAGTGTCACCTACAATTCTAACTCCTCCCCTCCTCTTCCTCTTTCTGTAGGGGTTCCCCAAGGCTCTGTCCTTGGACCCCTTCTCTTCTCTATCTACACCTCCTTCCTTGGCCAACTAATAACCTCACATGGCTTCCAATACCATCTCTATGCCGATGACACTCAAATTTATATTTCCACTCCACAACTCTCCCCCTCAGTGTCCTTGCGTGTCACTAATCTACTAACTGACATATCCGTCTGGATGTCACAACATTTCTTAAAACTCAATCTTTCGAAAACTGAGCTCTTGATATTTCCTCCTGGCCGTGCACCTTCCCCCAACATTTCAGTTGAGATCGATAACACAACTATCCAGCCCTCCTTTCATGCTAAAGTCCTAGGTGTCATCCTTGACCCGGACCTCACCTTTTTTCCCCACATCCAATCACTATCCAAATCCTGCCACCTTAACCTTCGTAACATCTCCAAAATACACCCCTTCCTCACCAATGAAACCACAAAACTACTCATACACTCCCTTGTTATCTCTCGTCTTGACTATTGTAGCTCCCTCCTCATTGGCCTTCCACTACACAGGATATCCCCCCTTCATTCTATCATGAATGCAGCTGCCAGACTTATCCACTTGACCAACCGCTCAGTGTCTGCAACTGCCCTCTGTCAATCACTACACTGGCTTCCACTCGCCCAGAGGATAACATTCAAAATATTAACAGTCACTTATAAAGCCATCCACAACTCTGCCCCCTGATATATCTCAGAGTTTGTCTCAAAATATCACCCCAACCGTCCACTCCGCTCTTCCCTAGACCTCCTGCTTTCCAGCTCCCTAGTCAACTCCCTAGTCAACTTGGAGGTGACAGGTTCAATAAAGAGAACCTGTCGCCTCCAAATGCTATCACATAGGGGCTTGATAGCAATAAAGTTAAGAAAAAATGTTTTTTTTTTTATAAAAAAAGAAATTACATTAAATAAAAGTAAAAAATAATAAGAAATAAAAATTAAATAAACAAAATAAAAAGGTGATTAAAAAGTAAGAAATAATAAGAAAAAATTATGAAAAAAAAAATCAATAAGGTAATAATTATAAAAAATAAAAGACACTGTGATGTCGCCTCAATGGGCAAGTTTACAGTGTCTGTTGGAAGGGACTCTTTCCATTTACCAAATTTACAAATGTTTTGGTATCTTAGTAATGTGGCATCTGGAATGTCTTTTTAAATTCATGGCAATTTCTGAAATCCCGCAGTCTCTGGTTGTTTACCTTGCAGGCCTCCTACACTGCCGGAAATGATGATATGTCCAGATCTCCTCTGCTTCATTCCAGGGAGGAAAGCTTGGATGGTGCCAATCGTCCCAAACAAGTTCACGTCAAAGATTTTCTTCATGGTGTCATAGGTGTGGCATTCCAGAGGACCCATCAAACCAACACCAGCATTACACACTGCGTGAAAAACAGTAACTGAAGTAAAGCAATGCAAAGTTCCAATACAAAAAACACAATGAAAATGGCAATTAAGAAACAAGATATTGTTGAAAAGAAGAAAAATGTCCAGAATCAATGAAGAAAACCTTAGGTGAAAGACATTATTTGCTAAAGAACTGTGTATTAGAAACAATTACAATTGTGGCTAGCACTTTTGCCTTGCAGCATTGAGGTTGAGTCCAGGTTTGGTAAGGACTAGGGATGGTCTCGATGTTCGAGTCGGGCAACAGTTGGACTCAAACATCGGCAGTTCATGTGTTCGGTGAACACACGAATTATCAGGGCATTCGGCGGGCGAACGGCACAAGTGCCTTGTGAAGCCCTGATTGGGTAAAGCAATGCACCTGACCACAGGTCAGGTACAAAACTTTACCCAATCACAGCACAGTGCACTGTGAGAGCCATGATTGGGCAAAGTAATGATGACTTTGCCCAATCATGGTTTACACAGCTGAGTCCTGTCAGGTGCCGGACAAATGTAAACAGTTGGGCGGAGCTAGCTAGCTGTCACAGCTAGCTTCGCCCAATTGTTTATATTTTGCTGGCATCCACTCGCATGTGTGATCGTTGCGAGCGGACAGGTCAGTGGGCAGCGAGTTTTTTTGTATTATTATTATTTTTTTAATTTCGTCGAGCCGTCGTCGTCATGGGCAATGCTGGACGTCATAATTGACCCAAGGATTAGCAATAAATGAATTGTCAAAAGCCTTTTTGTGTTTATATTTGAAATTAAAGGATTTTTTTTCTAAAAGTCTGGACTTTTCATTTAAATTTATTTTAACGCTTTAGTGAATGGATAGGGGTACAAGTACCCCTTACTCATTCACAAGGGGGGGCGCACCTGGGGTATTAAAGGGGTACCCTGAAGTGAATAAGCCCCCCTGCCCGCACCCCCACAACCAACGCCCCAGGTGCTTGTGGGTGGAAGAGGCCCTTGTCCCCATCGGCACGGGGACAAGGTGGCTCATGTTCCCCCCTTTCCTGCCCTGCCAGGCCTTTGCTCGGATCAAGGGTCTGGTTAGGAATTTTAGGTGGGGCCCCATGTTTTTTCTCCCCCCATTTTTTGGGGGGTTCCTTCTTAAAATTCTTACCAGACCTTAGGGGCCTGGTATGACTTTGATAGGGAACCCCACGCACTTTTTTTTTTTAAATGGTGTCACTCCTAAATTTCCTACCAGATATAAAGGGTCTGGTATTGTTTGGGAAGGGGGGACCACATGCTTTTTTTTTTCTTTATCAATGTCATTTTTTTACATTATAAATGTCATTTTTGCTGCAGCAGGTTCTATACATCGTACAGATGTGCCACTTGTGCAGTGTAGTGGGACCCCCCGGGCACAGTATTTAAAGGAATTTTTCATTTTTATTGTTTCACTTTAGGCAATGTTAAAATCACTGCTCCTTTAAAAACTGTATTTTTTTAAAGTGTTTTTTTCATGAGACATGTCCCCCAGGGCAGTAGTGGATCCCCATACCCCTTTTATGGGCAATAACTTGCATATAAGCCTTCGAAACAGTGGACATTTGATTTTCTGAGTTCTGGTCCCATAGACTTTCATTAAGTTCTAAGTTCGAGTTAGAACTTTTTCCATGTTCTAAAGTTCGGGTTAGAACCGAACTCAGGTGTGTTCAGCCTATCACTAGACGACGACAACAGTTTCTTCACATCATTTCACAGCTGGATGGTAGAATAGGGTTTATATATCATTTCCAGTGAGGCTCACCAAGAATGTCTACCCTTTGTTCTTTGATCTTCTCAATTGTGCCAATCATAGACTGTTGGTCTGTGACATCCATCTGTAGGATCTCAAAGGTGTCAACATGGCAGTCACGTACACACTCCAGTAGTTGTTCTTTCTTAGAAAGGTCACGCATAGTGGCATAGACTAGAAGCAACAAATATAACAAAAGATACAGGTTAAGTGTATGTCATCACACTGTAAAATGTATTATCATGGGCAATACGTTTAAAGGCTAAAAAAAGAACCTATGTGGCTTGCTTCCACTGTTAAAAAAGCTCCTGGCCAGGAAGGGGGTGAAACACCCTGGTCTTCAAGTGGTTAACAATATGAAAAGGGCATTAAAAAAACAGAAGGAACACTTTATTTTAGTTACAACAGATTCAACAAAACGTTGTAAAAAGGAAGCATAGCAGAAATTCAAAACAAATGACAAGTTGCAAAGACAGTAAGGTGATTCTCTTTTAGGGCTAGTTAACACCAGCCCCAGTGCCTTCTGGTTCGATTGGTGCCGGAACGCACTGGATTGCATTCTGGCCGGCTCACTTTGTTTTGGGACGGGAGGGGGCTTGATGGTGCATTGAAGTCAATGGCACCGCAGCCACGCCCTCTGGCCGCAGTGCGATCGCCTGCACCGGAACGTGTGGCACATCAATGCGGTCCGAAAAAATAGTGCTCCCACCCCAAGAACTAGCCCTTAGGATGTGGAACATTTTGAAGATAGTTTTTATCCTCTACAGAATGGTTTTAATGAAAGCTAATAGGTTGGTATAACTTTACAGGTTATGGTGAGAAGGGACTAAAGCAAACAAAAACTCATCCATCCAAATCAGTGCGTAGCACAGTAAAAGCCGTTCACACATACTTCGTGACCTGCATTTTACCGCAACGATGCAACGCAGGTCACCACAAGTACAAATAGAAATCAACTCTTTTCCATGTGTCACATTCACAAAGCAACATGAGTGTGATGGGCATTGCACTGCGATAAAATGCAAACATGCTTCATTTTATCCCAGAGCACTAGATGCCACCACAGCTCACCGCACAACAGCACAGCTGCTGAATGTACACAATGTACACTCCACATAAAGTTAAAAAAACAAAACATTTTAACTGTGATACACTGCTTGTAGCGTTTTAGTGGACAGGCTTGTGTGAACAGGCCCAAAAAACGTCTTAAAACAGAAGGTATTCACATGTCCCGTTCCATCACATATCCCAATAATAAGTGGACCTTCTGTTTTAAGAAGGCTTCACTGTGCTACAATCAAAGCTAATTAATTGGAAAGCAGTATAGTGCTGTGGGGTGTGACAACAGTTTCTCCTGATATTGTTGGGGGAGGCGCTTTGTAGTGGGATGGGTGGCTGTGTTTGACAGACAGAGAACAGTGCTGTCAACTTCTCTCTGTCCAGTCCCGCCCACTTCACTGACATCACTGGTTGCCAGGACCTCGTCGGGCTGCCAGCCAGAGTGTCCTGCTTAGCTCCCTGGCAATCAATGATGTCAGTGAGCTGGGCGGGAAGCTGGACAGCGGGAAGAGCTCTTAGCAACCTGGGAAGAGCTCTTAGCAACCTGGGACACTGTGCCCGACCCTCTCCCCCCCCCACACTTGCTGCCCCCTAATGATATGCCGCCTGAGGTGACCGCCTCATTATAGGGACAGCCTTGCGAACGCACACACACACATACCAAAACAACCAAAACAGACAAAAAACATTGTTTTCGATATCCCACAGTTGAGAAGCAAGTACATTACAGAGTAAACCCCCGAAAAAGTTGATATACTGTAGCTAACATTACCGCTTTCCATTAGCATGTTATCGCAGCACACTGTATCCCAACGCAGGTCATTGCATAGCACTCCATTGCACCACGCTCGCTGCCATGCGGGGACCTGAATGGAGTGTACACATTGTACACTCCACATACATTTTTTTTTTTAAAGAAAAAAAATGTAAACGGTGACAGTGGCAGCATTTCAGTGGACGGGCTAGTGTGAATGGATGCTTACTGAAGATTGGAAGTGATATCCATAAGGATTATGAGATTATGGGAATTCAAAATGGCCTTTTATAACATAAAGGTCTGGAGGATCTGGAGTGGCTTGCCATATAGAAAGAAAATGTTCTACAGATTAGAACAGTTTTCATGCAAGTAATTCCAAGGAGGTGGTTGATTCTGAGTACGCCATTTATAATAAAATTCTATTTATGCCTAACACAAACATTTACAAATGGTAAATGTTTCGCTGGAAATTTTCAAATCGGCTTCTTCAGCAAGTCGGTTAAAAATCGTCTTTTCTCAAACTTCGGGATCCCAAGGGGGCCACATACTGCTCGAATTTCACCCTAGTCAGCAAGACTTGGACAAAATTTGATCAATTTATACCCAGCTTAAAGTGTATTTCTACTTTTGCAGCCAAATTGGGATAACACCTGTTTTATATTTGTTTTATGTTATGTTTCCAATCATATAACATAAAAAAAATGCAGCTCATCCTTTTTTAAAGGAGAACTATGGGGTTAAGTCTTTTCCCCATAGTTCTCCTTAGGGTAACGGGGGGACACAAACTAGTGTCCTCCCGTCACCCTAGACTCAGTATACCGCGAGCTGTAGCTTGCGGTATACTGAGACGCCGCAGCTGAAGCGGATCCCGACAATTGTGCCAGGATCCGCCCAGCTGCGTGACTGACAGCTGGCTCTGCCTATCTAGAGGCAGAGCCAGCTGTACCCGCCCCCTCCCCCGTCCGTTCCGCCAGTCAGAGCTGACGGATCGGAGCGGGGGGAATCCAGCCCCTCCCCGGTCGCAGCAGAGAGCCGTGACAGGATCGAGAGGTGAGTGAACGCCGGTATGTGTTCGCTCACCTCCCGATCTAGTCTCATTGTCACAGGTCGGCTAGAACTATGAGGTGAGTGAAAAGCACTCCTTTAATTGTTTTAAAAACTGTTGGCACTTGTAATCTAGATGAACAGGACTGTCTGTCCTAACAAATGAGGCTAATGCTTCCCTTGCTATCTGCTGCTTTTTTTGTATTCTGGCAGCTGCTGCCGTCAGAATAAAATAAAAAAAACAGCATGGGAATGAATAGCTAGGCTGCTATTTAATATACATTTTAATAATAATAAAAAAAAAAAAA